AAAAAAAAGCGATTTGGGCTTCTGCGTCCGCAATGAAGAAACTTATTGTTTCATTTGTAATTATGTTTAGCCAAAGGCAACGGCCTGCTTATTCATTTTGACAAGAAGTTCTAACGTCTTCCTCGCGCAAATATTTTGATTTTCGGTCGCCGATCCGCGAGCCTGTTTTGTTCAGTGTCCTCCAGGAGCGGTAATATCCATCGTTCGATCAATACCTCGATTTAACTGATCTACGCTAGGCAAGTCAAACCTTGATTTAAAATGACTGGCTGGAGGCTACTTGGCAAAATGATATAAAACAGGCTCGCCCCGGTCGGCACCTTTGCTATACCGCCACATTCGGGCTATAGTAATCTGCACTATCCTCGTGACATATAGTCATACGTTGTACGATCTTATATCGGAATCGCTCATCTTACAAAGGTTCTTACCTTTTCAACAACAAGCGTGCGAACCGCTTGTCATCATCGCATCGCAACATTAATAGTAATTATATCTCTCTTATGTCGAATAATAATGTAACAACTAATTTGTATTTTAATTGATGATTTCAGAAAGGATGTCGGTGCCGCCTCCACCGCAACCAAAAAGGAACAAAGACCAAACGATCGTTGAAAGATCGAGCAAAGATCAAGCAAAGCCTCCACCGGCAACGCTTAGAAATCTCGATCTGGTCGCGAATTTGCCTACAAGAACAGAAGAAAGCGAGGACGAGTATGAAACGTTCGATGAACAAATAATTGAACAAAATCAAAGGAAGAGTATGTTGAAGGTAGACAGCAAGCAATCATTGAGCAGTGGCCATCAAAGTTCTGCGGAAAGTGTTTATCAACCAGCAAGTGTTACAAGTTACGAGGAGGAAGAAGAACACTATAAAATTTACGAATCGATTACGGAAACAGTAAGCCCATAAGTTCTATTTTCATTTTATAATAATTAATTCAATGAAAAGTAGCTGAGCGGGAGTTGCTTTTCCAGCCAGATGATAGCGGATACTATTTAAATCCCACTCGAAAGTCGACGAATATAGGAACACCCCCACCACTACCAGCGAAACCTCCCCCGACATCGACTACCCCCTCTCCAACTCTAAATCGAACAGACCTGGACAAACTGAAAGGTATAATTTTTGTATAATTTTTGAATTCTTATCTTTTTTTATCCTTTATGTGTGCAAAGTGATAGTAGCAAATATATGATAAAATTGTCTCTCTTATGTTAACGCGAGTAACTCCGGTAACAAAGGAAATGAAACCGAATTCGTTGAAAATGGAAGATGCAACGAGGCAAAAAGTGCAGGCTGCATTAAATTGAAAGAATAAAAAGCTCTCCTTAACTTCTCATAAACATGTGCGCGGCAAATGGCTGGCCGCCAATGTCGCTGCAACCTGATGCACATTGAAATTTGCAGCCAGTCATGGATGAACTATCGTGCCCGTTATTTCGAGTTGTTCCCTACCAAAATATCTAACGTTTTTAATCAAATTATCAGTAGCAATCATATCAGTGGTATCAGTTTACCAATAACACAAATAACAACATATGTAAATTACAAAATATCCCAAGAGGAACAATAGTGTGTAATATGAGTAATAACAGAGACACGTGCAGAGTTTCAAAGTTGTTGTTCAAATGGAAGAGCAATGCCTCGAAGAGATCACAATTTCCCAAAAGCTGATCAAACAAAAATCTAAACGTCTTTGAATCGTTATCAACGGAAACGGAAGAAGAAACAGTGGGATGGAATGTGTTCCTGCTTTTATCTGAGACTGAGCAAACAGCTCGTGGGAGGTTTGGGCGCCCGTTTGGCCGATGAGGTTTCCGATATGATAGTGAGGATCAAACGGGGGCTATCCCGTTGTTGTTACTCGCAACCACCTGAACCACCAGGTATAACAATCTTTTACGAGTGAATTCCTCACGCGTCGCATCGTTTGCACATTCCTACCCCACACTTGCGCACACGGTTTATACTTAGAACGACAGAGTCGTCAAATTTTTCGGTAGAAATGCTCGACAAGCTTCTTCCCTCCTAAATTGGGAATGCACCGAAACTCCAAACATTCTCGAAATACGTACAAAGTAACCAATATATATTTTTATACTTTGAAGAGTGTGCCCCATGCTGAGAGACCAACGGATGGCCGCTGAGCTTCGTCAATATTTTATTCGGCCGATCTGTGGGTTAAACATCAGTCCGTACGGTGATTTTAGAGAGTTCGGATCGTTGGCAGTTAATTTCTCTCTTTACTGTCTCTTTCAATCTTACGAGAAATATTTCCAACAGTTCCCGAAATTAGTCAAATAGTTCTTTATAAATTTCTTGCTTTAGAAAAGGAAATTGCAATTCTTTACGTTATAGATTAGATTTAGAACTTTATATTTGATTCTATACTATCTAGATGTTACATAAAAAAAAAAAAAAAAAACTTTAGAACGCAGTTCTGCACCAGTTCTAACGTGCGAGATCACAGAAATCGTGAAACCGGTGATTCTTGAAGTCGACACTTGTTTCTGATTCTATTTACGACGTGCAGAATCATTTGCAAGTGAAATTAACTAGGAAAACAGCGAGTTCTATTTTCGAGCCTAGTTCGCGAAGATCACATTTTCGGAACAAAGGACTGCTTCCGTAAAATGAAACTTTGCGATAATATATGTATAAGGGAATATAGTTTTGATAAATAACCTGTGTAAAAATCGTAATTTCTTGCCTCTGAGTGAAGGTGTTGCGAAAATGGCGACAATAATTGGAGATCCGAAAAGAAACGTGTCGCTAAACACTGCGATCCGTCGTCAAGCGAGTCTTTCAGAATGTTTGACTCAGGCCGCTCTCACTCAAGCCCGCCTGAATTTAGCAAGTTAGTGAAACCATTGGCCTCAAAACCATATTTTTACGCATTTTCAATATATATTTCACGAATGAAACGAGTAAAGTTTCTATTGAGTATTGTGAAAGAAACGTGTTTCATTGTTGTTCTCAGAGAGATCTCCCGAGAAAAAATCAGCCACGTTGCCTCACTCTAATAGTAACAGCTCCTTGTCGTCGGAAAGGGCTACAAGACCATTGCCTCCACCGCCTGAGAGACAATCGTACGTTGATAAACCGTGGTTCCACAATGTTACCAGAGAACAAGCAACAGCTCTTATCAAGGAACGTAAGTCCTTATCATAAATTCAAAAATAGAAATAGAATATTAACTATCATCAAAATTTTGCAAAACTGATCTCGAGTATTTAAATAATATATCGATTATGAATCACTGTGCTACGTTTAGAAAGTACTTACGGTAACTCTCAAGATGGACACTTCCTCTTGAGACCATCTACAACAAATGTGAACAATCCCTTGGCTCTGGTGCTCTGGTACAAGGATAGAGTGTATAATGTTCCAGTCAGAAAGAGGCCTGACAATAGGTAAGGAAACTTTGCACACTAACATTTCCATGTCCGTATATCTTTCTTAAGTACTGGACTTGTTCTGTAACAATTGGAAACAGATGAAAAATTAGTACAAATAAAGAGATAAAATATCTTTTGAACTATCATAATAGATATTCTTCCATAAAGGCCATTATGGCTAAAAAATTCAATGCGAGGCTTCTTTAAATTAAAAGTTAAAACTATTATTACTATTCAATACCAGATGAAGAGCAATGGTATTAGCATTGGTAAGGTGATAATATTGAAACAAAATTTGCATGGAGTGAAGTAGTTTCATCTATAATAAGTCAAAGATTCAAAGGTCAAGAAAAAGTAAAATATTCAGTAGGAATGTGCCAAAGAATTCATAAGGAATCGGACAGGATGAAGTGTTGTATATTTTTCAAATAGGTATGCATTAGGATCAGCAAAAATAAATGAGAAATCGTTCTCGAACGTCGAGGAAATCGTGATGTTTTACACGAGGGAGGAACTAGTGCTCCACAGCGGTGGCGTTGAAATGGGAAGCACGAAATTAACAGACACTCCGCCCAAATGAATTTTTCAAGTCTTTCACACACCAGCTTGTGCAACATAAACACTGCCTAAATAAGAATTTCAAGAGGAATTCAGAATCAAACGATGGTCTACATGTATTTATTCAACAAGTGCCTTTTATACTCACGACCCATCGAAAACCAATTTTGTATATTTTTTATAAGATTCGAATGAATCATCTTATCATGTACGCGTGCGTGATTTATATGAATCGTAATACATACATGGAGAAATATTCAGTGTTTACAAAAATCTTTCTCATGATATGAATTGCGTATATTTTTCATACAAACATATTTACAAACAGTATTTTAATGTTGAATTTGTGAATTGAAACATAAGGTTAATCGATGTATGCTAGTTATTTTTGCAACCGAAAGAACAATCACTTTATATACATATCAATATTATAATTTACGTTCTTGTACGTTTGTTTATAGATTTTTATAAGATAATTCAATTACATAAGTTAAGCAATGATATATGCTGCGAATTTGTAAATAAGACCTTCCCCTGATAATTAAATTTTGAGGTCGAGAAAGTTTCGTACCGCGTCTTGCTCGATTTATTATAATTTAATGAAATAAATTCAACTAGTTCAAACAAAAAGTGACTATTCTTGCTACTGATTGCATCAACAAAATATTTAAGTACAAAACTTGAATATGTAAATAACTATTACTATATAAGAATAATGTGATCCGCAATTTACAAGATAACTTTATTACGGCATAACTCTTTCTGAGAAATATAGTTATATTTCAAGAATTTTATGGAAAATCAAAGAAAATATTTTAGTCGAAAAAGATCAATGGGAAAAGATCATTGAAGTTGTTTCAACATCTTTCTTTTTCTTAATTGACATATGTACAAGTTCAAATATAGGTCAAGAACAAAGATCAGAAACTATAAGTTTATTTTGTAATATTCTACTTTGCTATGATAACTAATGACACTTAATTACACCTAATTGACATTAATTACTTACTAGACTGCTAAGTGCCATATTTAAATGAATACAAATGGCCTCGTTTCTTGTTTTTATATTTAATTACTTTTGAACTCTATGTACTTTTCGACATACATTTATATCGGAACGTAGATTAATAAAAATCAACCAGTAGATTGTAATCTGTGCATTTACATTTTGTCATGTTATCGTCAAAATAAAAGTGATAATTTTTAAGAAATAGTCGTTTTAAGTGTCTAATAGAATCTTCATTCTATGAGTTGTTACTACAAAATCTACGAAAATTGATGTGTGATCTACAATAGCTATAAAAAGGATTTACATATATTCTCATTTTCCAATGAAGTGTCCTTCCTAGATCTGAAGAGTATTTGATTAATTGATACTTGAATATTATAATAAATATATTTTATATTAACAAATATTCTTTCACTCGATATTCTTTGATTTATTTATAATTGAAATTTAACGCGATTGAAATTCATGAATGCGAATCGACGAGCCAACAGTTTACTCCAACATGCTTATCTCGTGCCGTGTTCGACGATCGATAACGATAATACGTATCAATTAAGTAAATACTCGCGTAATTGAGTCCCTTCTTATCTCCCGCTCTCTAAATCTACCAGTTGCATTTCAGACGATCACACGAATTCTTTCATCATATGTGAACCCACTATCGATCGTGAAAAAACAATGACTCGATGTATTGTATTGTAACTCGGAGTTATATATCTAAGATCGACCTTGGTTCGACGATATAGTGGACCTGTGCGCGCGTGAACTTTGAACCAATTACTCAACAACTGCAACGCAATTAAGAGGAGACACGATACTGTCTACAATTTGTGCGTTTGATATACCTCGATAAGACCTGTGCTCGACGATGTATCAATGATCTATACACGCACGTAGTTCCCTAGATATTCTATAAATTGAATACAATTTAATAATAATACGCGCGAGGAGCGAGTGGAGTGTCTTATAAAAAAAAAAAAATTTTGATGCGTTATCTCTGTAAACGAAAAGTTAGCTACGACTTACTCACGCAGCAACACGGTACGCCTCGTAACATTCTTAATGTACAATAACGCATGATAAAAATCGTTGAGAAAACGCGATGATTCGAGCGCGTTTCCTTTCGTGGGCTTTTTGAAAAATTCCCTAGATGCAGACGGGCCTAGTTACATTCGTGACGTCACGCTGTTCAACAATGACGTAGTGGGAGGGCGTACAATAGTAGTGAAACACACGATAGGCTAATGCGCACCACCCCGTTAACTACTTGTAACTGAATGCCAATTGAGCGGTTCATTTAGCTTGTCACTTAAACCTTTTCAAACGGTATCACTCGCGGATCCGGGGCGTTGCGTCGAAGATGCCACACGGTTTGAAATCGTGAAGATCCGCGATCCGGATCCCTGAACTTCTGTTCCGTCGGTTTTGTCGCAGACACGATGCGGTGGTAACGACACTAACATGAATCACTCGCCGAGGAAGCGTAATTCCAAGCGGGAATACCAAATTGTGCGTTAACAGACAAGGTGTTGATCGTCGACCCGAGAAATTCTGTTCCGGGGAGCAATGGAAGATGAACAGCCAGCGAGAGAGACGAATAAGATATGCGGTGTGTGCGGCGATCGCGCGCTCGGTTACAATTTTAACGCGGTTTCGTGCGAAAGTTGCAAAGCCTTCTTCCGACGGAATGCTTTGAAGAACAAGGTGATTAATTTGAAAGAGTCTCGTGTAATCTCTAAAGATAGTTGAAAGAAACTCTCTCGATTTCAACCGCGCGTAGTTAGTCGAGAATATGATCGCCAAGATTTCCCTTGATGAGAGCACTGGATATGTTTAATCTCAGTTACAAAGCATTAAATTCGTAAACAAAGATTATATAAATATTTTAGCTTTCCAGTTAATAGTAATTTTGTTTTGATATTCTCGAATCTTTTTAGTTGTTAGTATCGCTCTATCAAATTATAAAGGAAGTATGCACATTTCGTATGCACCAATCTATTTCATTTTTTACGATCATCGATTCAATTCAAGATTGCTGTCTTGACCAATAATTTTTGTAGATAGTGTCATTAATAAGACGGCATAATAACTTTGTAGATATCAAATTTAATGATTTAATTTTTCCATGATAATGTAGCGAGATAAAAAAATAATGAATATTTATATGATGATATTACTGAATTGTCAACGAGATTTACTATTGTTGCACTTTTGCAGGATTTCCGATGCCCGTTTACTGAAAATTGTAACATAACACCAGTTACTAGACGCTTTTGTCAAAAATGTCGTCTAGACAAATGCTTCAGCATAGGCATGAGGAAGGAATATATCATGTCTGAGGAGGACAAAGTATTAAAGAGACAAAAAATAGAACAGAATCGTGCAAAGAAGAGGCCAACATTGGAAAATACAAAACCATCAAAAATAAAGAAAGGTTACTTGGATGAGTGCAACTTTGACGATACTTCTATGTCGGTTAACTCGGTTGCATCGACTGCGTCTGACACATACTTCTGGGAGTCTGATAGAAAATACACAGATTTAGATGCAAACAGACAGAGTGTAACTGAGAGTTTGAGCCCTGTGACAGCTGCAAGTGTACCAAGTCCTTCTAGTCCACCAGAAAATGAAGCTATAAGTGGCTCAAAGACATTGGACATGATGAAAGATTCATCTCAGAATTCCAACTTTGAAACTTATGATCATTCCTCTTCGGCTCACGAGGAAAACGAAGTTGACACAGAGAGCTCGAGAATGGATTCAAATTCTCCTTCCCAAAGTCAGCAAAGATTTGACAAAGTTAAACCTTCCTCTCACAATGCAGAGAAGGATAAAAAATCAATAATAAGTTCAAGAAAATTTGATCAAAATGTGTTAGATTTGAATTCTGAATTTGGCCCTGCTAACCATGAGTCTATGAAATATTCTCCTGAATTTGACAATGCATCCTGTTACAATAAGTTTGATTGCCCTGTACAGAACTCCCAATATATTGAGCATACGTCGCATTACAGAAAGACAACTGTAGATATGGATTCAGAAATGCATACGAATGTGCAAATTTGTTCACAGGAAACTGTATCTAGTCAGAAGCAGAGCAGGGAAACGTGTTCAAAAGAAGATAATTTCGTTAGTAATAAATTCCCGCAAGATTCCACTCTGATTACAAAACTTGTTAATAATTCAAATTTTATCACCAAAATATTTCAAAATGAAGAATTATTACTAAAGATTATGTCAGATCCTGTTGTTATTAGTAAATTGGAAGCAGATCCTCAGACTTCTCACTTTTTTAAAAGAAGCGGAATCGTTGTGGACAAAGAAGCATCGTCTGAAAAGGAGACAAATAGTCATTTTAAAAATGATGTGAAATCAAATCATAATAATTCGAGTCACACGTTTAAAACAACATTTAAAGTTAAACAGAAACAAGTAGAAAATCCAATCTTGACCGATTTAATTACGAATTCCAGTCAAGAGGAATGTATAAGGCAACGCGACGATTCTAATGGCAGTGAGTGGAATAGAAATCTATCGGATGTCACAAGAGATGTGCTTCAGGATGTACAAAGGTACAGTTGAAATTCGAGTTACAGTTGGAATTCGAGTTCAAAGCCTGAGAAACCATTATACAACATGTTGTGAATGACATTTCAGAGTACCAATTGCTGCAAATTCCATTGAGTCTATACTTTGTGAAGCAATTAAATTAGAGTTTTCAGCATATTCTGCTCTCGGCGGCATGGAGACTAGAAGGGTATTAAACGATGCTGAAAGAGCAAAGTTAAATGAACTAATAGTAGCCAACAAAGCGTTATTAGCTCCTTTGGACGAGGATATAACAAATCTAATTGGGGAAGATTGTAAATTTAAGGTAGCATTTGCTGTAGCTTGGAAAAACAGATTTATACGTTGACATTCATTAAATATGTGTATTCGGTTTCAGAATAATTTTGGCCGATCTGATCCGGCATTGTTAGACGTTGTAAATCTTACTGCCATCGCTATTAGGCGTTTAATAAAGATGGCGAAAAAGATAAACGCCTTTAAAAACATGTGCCAAGAGGATCAAATAGCTCTTTTGAAAGGGGGCTCCACGGAAATGATGATTTTAAGATCGGCACTTAATTACGATGTTGAGAAAGACATGTGGTGGATACCGCATAGCCAAGAAAGTATGTCCAATATAAAGGTAGATGTGTTGAAAGAAGCAAAAGGAAATCTTTACGCAGAGCATTCAAGATTTATTAGGAGTTTCGACCCTAGATGGAGAGACGAGAATATTATTTTGATTTTAAGCGCGATTGCTCTGTTTACACCAGATAGGCCAAAAGTGGTGCATAATGATGTAATTAAATTGGAACAAGTAAGTCCAACAAGTCATTTTTTGTGTATGTGATGATTCTCATCAAAATAAATATTAGTAATCTATTTTTTCTCATAGAATTCTTATTACTACTTGCTCAGACGCTATCTAGAAAGTGTATATCCCGGATGCGAAGCCAAATCTATGTTTCTAAAATTAATTCAGAAGATTTCCGATCTTCATAGACTAAACAACGAAGTCGTTGGAGTGTATCTTAATTTAAATCCGTCGAGGGTAGAACCACTTCTTATAGAAATATTTGATTTGAAACATTGATTGTGTTCAACACAGCGGATAAAAATTAATTATGTAACATGTTCGATTAGTATTCCTTCGACTGGCAGAAGTAATGCAAGACTATTATGGATTTGTATTAATAGTCGCATGTTCATATAAATGATATATAGCAATAATATCAAAGAAAAAAATGTTATAAATTATCAGAATTTAAATTCATATATATATATAAGTTTTAGTGTACATAAAACGTAATGTTATATAAATAATATTGTCGCCAAAAGTTTATTCGTTTCAGAATTTATGTCTATAAAAGTATATTGTAGAATATATTAAAAGTATATTACGATATCTACGTATATCTATATACAGTAATGTTCCGTTTAGAATGTTTAAATTCACAAAATTGCTATTAACAAATCCGTGGAAAGTTTTGATTCTTAAAGTTAGCAACGTAAATATAAGAAAACAGCATGTTTGAAATTAACAAACTATAAATTATTAATTAATTTGATCAATAAAAAGTGAATTTTAAAAGAATTTTTATTTCATTTCAAGAAAAAGGAACTATCTTGAATTTCATAGAAATGATCGCGTCGATATCAGCGGGACAATACTGTAGCTAATTACTGTTGAAATGTGAAAAGATTATTGTAATTAAAGAAGCATTTGTTTGTAAAATATTGATATTGCTATTGACCGTTAATACATTGAAATTCATGACAAGTAGAGATTACAATTCAAACGAATATAAAATTTCGTCATGTCGCGTCATTTAGGACAGATACGTATACGTAGCACGTTAGTGTTAAAAATATTACGTATATTTTAACGAACGTACCTTAAATTGTTAAATCTAGAGAAGATATTTGTTACACTAAAACCAAGTTCTATGTTCATGTTTAGCAAATTGAAATATATAAAAGAAAAATATTTGTTTATGTTGAGACAAATTAAAAGTCATATAACGATAAACATGAATTCAGTGCTTGGTGGGAAAAGTCGGTTGAAGCAAATGAATGCAGTCTACGACCTGCGTAATGTTCATTTACATTACGAATATTTATTAGTATGTACGTAATAAATTGTGATATCGAGTCAAAATATATTTTTCAGATACTTGTTATATTTGACTTTAAGCATATTATTTCATTCCTTTTACTATTATATTATTAACTAATTTCTTATTTTATAAACAATACAAAATTGAAAAATAAATACCTTTTATTAAATCTCAGTTGTCATGTTCAGATGGGAATCTGTAACCAAGCATTTGCAGGATTATGATTATCAATAAGCAAGTAGAAGTAACAAAAAATGTCAAGCTGATAAGGAAAAGGAACATGTATCCTATTGTCTTAAAAATGAATAGAAAGGTGCAAAATAACCAATTCCAAATTGTTTTCAGTATCATTTTTCGTAATACTTTAAAATTTATCAAAAAAAAAAAAAAAAAAAAAAA